GCCCTAGTTAAGCAGTGTGCCCACTCCATGTGAGTATCTTTCTCCGTCTTTCGGCTTTCTCGGAACCGCTGCCGGTATGCCTCCGGGGTAATTGCACACCTGTCTAGGATCGCCTGCTTTACTTTCTGGTAGTCTCTGCTATCCTCGTCTGGCATGGTGCGGTAGGCTTCTGTTGCCCGGCCCGTTAACTTACCCACCAACAGGGGTACCTGGTCGGCGGCGTTGATCTCATGTAATTGGCATAACCTCTCAAAGTCATGCAAGTAGCCATCGATGTCTTCGGTCTCCACATAGTTTTTAAAAGCATGGTACGGGATTTTAGGCTTCCCCGGTACTATGTGTGGTGTGATTAGGGACCCCTGTCTGGACCTCCGGTCTGCCCGCTGCTTTTCCATTATGTATTTGTGGACATCTGCCATAATCCTTTCCAAGGTTTCTGTGAGAGGCGTACCTGGGAAAAAGGCCAGTCTGCTTTGCAGTTCTCTTCCAAACTCATTCTGTGTGCTGTCCATAAGAGGTGCTGCAGCAGCTGCCCGGTCTCCCTCCATGAGTTCAGCAATAAGGGTAGCTTTGGTTTTATTGCTGGCAATAATTCCCCTTGCTTCCAATAGTTCAAGTTGGTATAGTCTGTCCCCATTCACTATCCGTTCGGCTATATTCACATACCCTTTCCTTTCGGTTCCATACGAAATAGCAAATTTCCCAAATGGCTGTAACTGCCGGACAACGGTCTGCTGTGAGGTTTGAATCCCGTCGCTGCCACCAATTGTGACGGACCCGCTGGCACTCCGACCGAGTACCTCCACCAATCGATGCTCCTAGTGCTTGCCGAGGACTTCAAGCACTCCAATCGACACCATCAGCACTGCAGACTTATCCCATCCCCCAAGCATGAGCCAAGGCTTCAAGAAAGGGTCAAGCAGGTCTGTTTAATGAGCACACAAAGCAACAGCCCTCACGCAGCAAAAAAAACTCCTCCTCAGAGGAAAACAAACTGACAGTTAAAGACAGACAGCGTTTGAAAATATGACAGTTATTAAGGGTTTTTAAACTGGTGTTCTAGGAGGGAGGGGAATAAAACAGTCACACTAAGTCCATAAAACAGGGTTTTTCTTCACACTCTGCATCCGAAGTGCATAGCAAAACTGCAGATCCTTTGTCAGAGCATTTAAAGGGCCAGAACCAGTCTAATAAAATTCACTATGCTCAAATAACATACAGTTCAAATACAGGCAATAATCAATGCAAAAGTCTCTTGTGGCTGCTTCTGCCACAAATATATTTTTTTAAAATACAAAGGAAGAAAATGCCTACAGGGAAATTAGTCATGCAGTACTCTAGTTGTATCTGTTAATCGATTGTGTCTATAATTATCTGCTTTATAAATACATACACATTTTACGGAAACTGAGTGAATGTAACCAGTATTGGCTGTTGTGTTGATAATATTTTAATTCATTTAATTTCACAATTTCAAATTCTACTTGGATGCATTGTCAGAAAGAAAAGCTTAATTACCAGAATTTCAAAGGTCACAGATTTTCTCATTTGCTGCAGCTTGAAGTTTGTAGGAAATATTCTATACAGAACTAGAGAGAGAAAGAGAAAGAGAGAGAGAGCAAGAAAGAGAGAGAGAGAGATTAAATCCAATGTACATTGATCGTTTACAAAAATGTTGAATACAAGTTAGTCATTTGAAAACAGTTTAACAGTGAATAGAGGGACCGACCCAAGTGACTTCAGGCAACATAACAACTTCAATGGGATAATGCGTACATTGTTATTATTAATATTAATATTATTATTATTATTATTTATAGTACAAACAAATTCTGCAGTGCTTGACAGTCATAGAATAGGGATAACTGACAACAAGTTATTGACATACAAAATATAAACAATACAAGAGGTGAAGGCACTTCTCAAACAAGCATACACTCTATAAGGAAGGGGTATAGGCACACAAGAGGAGGGAGGACTAATAGATTAGATGCCCATGTCTAAATAAGCTAGTCAGGGTGGTGTGTTGAAGAACCAAACAGTGGGAGGAGGCACACAGTGCCGCTTCCACTGTGAACACTCAAAGAGAAAAAAATCCAGTTTCATCCCTGAGTTGGGATTATACCACTCAGAACTTTATCTAAGAGCTGATTGGAGGCTCTATCCTTGTGAGTGTATTCTTTTTCTTCACATGATTGAGGTATTGGACATACTGGGTTGCACTATTGGTTTTTCTTTTTTGCTTATATTTTACATGAGATGCCAATAGCAGAACTCCCTACCTCAATCAAAACCTAATTTATTTGAACGTCGGAGGACTTTTGACTGAACTACAGCATAACCTCCTCAAAGGCTTGTAGAAAAAAGACCCTTGTTTTATTCCTCTGGGACTTTTTAAGTATATCTAAGTTATTTCTATCACTATTTGGTTTTACTTTATATATATATATATATATATATATATATATATATACACATACATCCATACTTGTTTCAATTTATACTTGGCGCAAATCAGTTTTTTTCTTATTTTCTACCTAATGTTTTCTCGTGGACTGTTAAGGTATCCAATTAACAGGATCTGCTGCAATTTGAGTGAGCGCTGTATCTCCCCCTCTCTTTGTAAAAACCTGTAGTAGTTATAATAAAGTGTAATAAATGTACCTTGTGATTCTGGTGTGTAGATGGTTTTATCTGTCTGAATGAAGAGGTACCCACTTTGAAATGACAATAACAGAACTTTCTCTAGGTTACAAAAATTAGAGCGTAAAATTACGTTGACATATATATTCTTTGTTGTGTCTATTTTCACACTTGCAGAAGGAATCTGAAAAGAACAAATGTTCAGAACATTAAAAAATACATATATATTATTTTAAGGAACACATTAAAAAAAAACAACAAAAAAAAACATTTTGCTTACAGCATGGTAAGAACAAAAAAGATGTGAACTTTTCTACCCAAAGAGTTGTCTTATAAGATTCTTTATATATTTTCAAAATGTACCTTTTTTTTTGTATGTGTACAAATTGTTGACCCAAGGAGAATTCTCAAGTACAAAATTTTAAAACTCAATGTTTAGGTGATATACCCCATCAAATTATGAACCAGTTTTGGTATATAGATCATGCCCCTGCAGTCTCACTGCTCAATTCTCTGTCCTTTAGGAGTTAAATCACTTTGTTTATGCAATACATCTACAGTCATGTTATTTACACAGCCTTTCTAAATACTTCCTGTAAAGAGTCATCTAATGTGTACACTTCCTTTGTTGCAAATTTGTTTTTAATTAGAAGTGCATGTCTCCTGCTCTGTTAATAGTTAGATGCCATAATACGGTTTGCTAGACCATGCAGGAGACTCATGTATGTAATTAATGTTCACATTACAGAGCAGGAGATAAGTCAGTTACATGTGATTGAAAATGAAACCATTTTGTTTTAAAACAGGGGAAATGTGGCTATGGATGAATAAACAGAAACAAAAGTGGTTTAACATTAAATGGAAGTTAATTGAGCAGTGAAACTTCAGGGGCATTATCTGTACAAAACTGCTTTGTTAAGCTAAAATAGTTTTGGTCCACTTGTTTGGAGCCTTTATTTCTAGAGAAAGGCTTATTAATTTTATTAACTCAACTTGATACTAAAATAAATCTTATTTGTTTGTTTTTTATTCTTTTATATATGTCTATATGCTGCCCGGTATATGCCTTCAGGCAGGGGTGCCCAATAGGAAGACCCCAGATGTTATATAACTACAACTCCCATGATGCTTTGCATGCCTTTAGAATGACAACGCATCATAGAAGCTGTAGTTTTAAAACATCTGGGGATCTACCTATTGGGCACCCCTGCATTAAGTGGTAAGTGTTATTTTTCAAAACATTAGCACTGCACTTGCACTTTGTGTTTTTTGGTGGGATACATCACCTAAACAATTATTTTTAAATGTTATACTTGAGATTTTTTTTAGCCACAGGAGTATCTACTAGAGCAGCATTTTCCAATTGGTGTTTTGTGGAACCCTAGGGTTTTACGACAACAAACTTTAGGTTCCGCTGTGATTTGCCCATCGGTTGGCCCAAGCAGTTAGGGCCACCCAATGGGTATTGCTCAACAAGGGGTCCAGTCAGGTGCTGGTGCTGTCTAAGACCGCAATGGGACCCCTCTTGTATGGGATGCTGGGAGGAAGTGACAGCACTTCCTCCCTGGCAGAACGCGCCTGTTAGAGCACCGGCTAGAGGGAGAAAGGGAGCAGTGGATATGGAGCCCCTGGCACACCAGCCTCAGCCAGCAGCCTGCAGTACTGAAGGAAGAAAAAAGGTTAACAGCAAAAGGTAAGTTAACACAGATATGTGTATGTGTCTATGTGTGTGTGTACCTGTGTCACTGTGTGTATCTGCCAATGTGTGTGAATATGTGTGTATGTGCCAGTTTGTGTATATTTATGTCAAGGTGTGTGTATGTGTCACTGTGTATCTGTGTCTTTGAGTGTCAGTGTGTGTCAGTTTTGTGTATCTGTGTCTGTGTGTATGTGCTTGTGTGTATCTGTGTGTCAGTGTATGTGCCTGTGTAAGTGTGTGTGCCAGTGTGTGTGTATGTGCCAGTGTGTGTGTGTATGTGCCACTGTGTGTATCTGTGTGTCAAGGTGTGTGTATCTGTCAGTACGTGTATCTGTGTCAGTGTGTTTCTGTGTGCCACTATGTGCCAATGTGTGTGTGTATATGTGTGTCAGATACACACATACACACACACACACACACACAGATACACACACACTGGCACATACAAACACAGATACACACACTTTGACACACAGACACACACCGGCACATACAAACAAAGATACACACAGATACACACACCTTGACACACCGATAGATAGATAGATAGATAGATAGATAGATAGATAGATAGATAGATACACACACACACTGTGTGTATCTGTGTGTCAAGGTGTGTGTATCTGTGTGTCAGTGAGTGTGTATTAGTGTGCCACTATGTGCCACTGTGTGTGTGTGTGTGTGTGTGTGTGTCAGATACATACACACACACACACACACAGATACACACTGACACAAAGATACACACACTGGCACATGCAAACATTGATATACACTCCTTGACACACACCAACAAGTACAAACACAGATACACACACTTTGACACACAGCATACACAAGTTGTGTAAATCTCTGTGTCAAGATGTGTGTATATATGTGTATCTGTATGTGTATCTGTGTGTGTATGTATCTGACACACAGATACACACACACACACACACAGTGGCACATAGTGGCACAAAAAATACACACACTGACACACAGATGCACACACTTTGACACACAGACACACACCAGCACATGCAAACACAGATACACACACTTTGACACACAGCTGGGCTCCCTCGGCGCTGGTGACCTCTCCTCCCTCTCTGACGTCAGCTCCCGAGTGGAGAGAATGCGCATGTGCGGCCAGAGCCGCGCGCGCATTAAAAACGCCCGTAGGAAAGCATTTCTCAAATTTCACATTGAGCGTTGGGGAAGCGCCTCTAGAGGCTGTCATTAAGACAGCAACTAGAGGCTGGATTAACCCTGCAATGTAAACATAGCAGTTCCTCTGAAACTGCTATGTTTACAGCTGCAGGGTTAAAACCTGGGGGACCTGGCACCCAGAAAGCTTCATTGAGCTGAAGTGGTCTGGGTGACTACAGTGGTCCTTTAATCATATATAACAAGTTAACATCTAGATTGAATGTTGTATTCAGTGGTTTCTAGAGACGGTGGCTCTTTAAAGGAACAATCCAGCTAATTTAGCATTATAAAAATACATCATTCTTATCTCCTGCTCTGTTAACATAAAGCAAACAGTGCCAGTATGTGTACACAGAAGGATATTGATACCTTAGAGAGGGTTCAGAGAAGGGCTACTAAACTGGTTCATGGATTGCAGGATAAAACTTACCAGGAAAGGTTAAAGGATCTTAACATGTATAGCTTGGAGGAAAAAGACGAGACGGGGGATATGATAGAAACATTTAAATACATAAAGGGAATCAACACAGTAAAGGAGGAGACTATATTTAAAAGAAGAAAAACTACCACAACAAGAGGAAATAGTCTTAAATTAGAGGGGCAAAGATTTAAAAATAATATCAGGAAGTATTACTTTACTGAGAGAGTAGTGGATGCATGGTATAGCCTTCCAGCTGAAGTGGTAGAGGTTAACACAGTAAAGGAGTTTAAGCATGCGTGGGATAGGCATACGGCTATCCTAACTATAAGATAAGGCCAGGGACTAATGAAAGGATTTAGAAAATTGGGCAGACTAGATGGGCCGAATGGTTCTTATCTGCCGTCACATTCTAGGTTTCTATGTTTCTATGTTTCTAAGTGCAAGGGTAATTTAAAAATTAGACCTCTTTTTCAGGAAGTATATAGAGAGGTTGTGTGAGTCTCAGCCAGTAAAGGTGTGTCTAAGACTGCATAATACAAGTGATTTAACTCCTAAAAGGCAGATAAATTGAGCAGTGAAGCTACAGGAACATGATCTATACACCAAACCACTATATTAAGCTAAATCTGTTTTGGTCCTTAGAGTATCCCTTTAAATCATAAACACATCATTGAGTTTTGGGATATTTTTTTGACACATTAAAAATGCTACCTCATCTCTATACATTCCCTGACCTATACACATTCATTGCATATGTAGTTCTAGATCATCTCAATATCTGCAATATTTGACCATTTTACCTTTATCTTAATTTGCCCCAGAAATTCATTGGCTCCATTAATGGTGACCGATGTTTGAACAATTGAACTTGTCTTGAGAGGGAAATCTTTGATCTCGATGTTTGCAATGAAATTGGTTTTAATTTTTTGAGCATCAATGATAATTGTCTCTTCACTTTCTACATGTAGAACGCTGGGTGTGATTAAGATACATCTGCAACATAAACAAAAACATCTTTAGTTAAATGTGCATGGCAAAATGACATTATCTCCACTAGGGGGCAGACATTCCTCTACATATCAGGCAAAAACTGGATACAAATTAAAGGGAATCTATAATATTAGGAATACAAAGTTATATTCCTAACACTATTAGAGAGCCCGCTGGTTCTCACCTCCCTTGTGCCCCTCAGGCAGCTAAAGTGCCGGTGCTGGGTTGGTAATCCGCCTCCTCTGACATCATCTGATGAGGGGGCTAATGTGCATGTGTGGAGGGCACTGCAAGATCATTAGGCCCTCCAATAGGAAAGTAGTGCTTCATTGTTTTCCTATGGGGATTTCAAAAGCGTGACTCATGCAGAGCGTGTTCGCAACCATGAAGTGCCTTTATTGTCAGTTTTACCCTACTGTAGCGAGCCCTGGGTAACCCGGCTGGTTACCCCCGCTATAAATGAATTAAGAGACCCATTTTCCCCAGTAACTGGACGACACACAGTTCCAGGGGTACAACAACAACTTTATTGGCCACACTCGGCTTTATCCTTTACCCATGCATGGGGTGGATCACACACAATATCCCAGGATCCTCCCCCTCCTGGGGGTTGCATAACACAACCGGAACTCCAATCCCTTTGTCCCCAGTTCCCGCCACTCATCCTCAGAGTTTCCCACCTCCGGGGATCAGGGCTCTTTATCCCATGAGCCTCTGTACCTGGGAGTCCCAGAGCTGGAAAGTTTCCTGCCTCTGTGAATCCCAGCTACAGAAATCCCGCCAAACTGCCATTGTCCCCACCAATCTCAGGGACCACCAGAATGATAACTGCCTCTGCCTGTGGGGTCAATGGGTGAAACCAGGCAAGGAGCGTGTCTCTTTTCGGGACATGAATGATCCCCCTGGCCGCCATTCATCTATATGAACGGCGACCGGCGAGGAAAGCACTCATTAATTACTTCCCTTGCAGTTTCACACTTATGTTGCAAGTTGCCAACGTTCTAATTGATTAGTGTGAACACTCCAATGGGCACCGGAGAGGTCCTCGTTCAGGAACCGAAGGAGGTGGGAAGCAATTTATGAATGCTCCCCCTATATAGTGTTTGTCTAACGAACGGGCCGCCACCCAGGGTCGGCACGTGCTGAGGCTTCCCTCTGCGGTTTGCGGTTTTCACACCTCGTTAGAGAGGTGTGAACGTTCTAAATAAACATTCTATATGGGATATGGAGGTGGTCCCTGTTCATGAGGCAAACAGAACCCGTTCGTCTGGGCTCTCCCGAATGGGGAGTAGGTAAAGCACAGGAATACAATACAATATGATAAGGGCGAAGACACGGGGAATACACACAGCAATTAACGAACAGGTCCCGCCACACCTACAATGTAATCATTGCAGTTTTTCAAAAAACGGGACTAGAACACTGGACTCAGACCACTTGGAATTGATGGTGTGAAGTTAAAAGATGCAGATAGTTACAAAAGCATGTTACAAAAGAGAGTATTCAGGACTTTCATATTATAAATTGAGAATGTGGAAGGAGATATTTAGAAAGGTTTTCAAAGAGAACCGATACTTAAAAGAATTCAGATTAGCAGTGGAATTATGCTGTGATATATTAAGTATTTTGAAATTTGGCTAGCTGAAATAATAGATTTATTTAGTTTATTTTTGTTTATATGAATGTGAGTTAAAATGTTGTATTCGTAGATTTACAAGAAAGACAGCAATCCAGGTTAAAACATAAGTGAAAATACAACATTACTGGTAACACATATTTGATCTGCTCAAAGTTTGACTAGCCACATTTCCGATAAACAGACAGTTTGATGACCAAGTCTGTTGCAGATATTTAACAAGAGACAATGCATTGTGGACATTTCAGAAATATGGGGACATTTACTCAGATCAATTCTCTGTAACTGTTTTTATAAGAAAAAATATATTAATAGCTAATCAAATATTTGTTACCAGTAATATTGTATTTTCACTTATGCTGTAACCTGCATCATTGTCTTTCTTGTAAATCTACAAATACACATTTTTACTTACATTCATATAAACAAAAAAAACTAAATAAATCTATTATTTCATCTAGCCAAATTTCAAAATAGCTAATATATCACAGCATAATTACCATGCTAATCTGAATTTTATGGCAAGACAGGAGGCTTCATATTTGCTTTACCTTCTTTACTGAACCTCCCAGCAGCAAAGAAACAGTTAACATAAGTGAGAAAAAAATCAACCAATCAGGACACATATTAGAACATAACAGTCTTTCAGGCTCCTCCCAAATCCTCTTTCTTTGCTGCTTGCCTCCCAGGTGAGTCTATTCCAATTATAGCTCTCTATATGTATATTTTGTTTATAGTATACATACATTATTTAACATTTGTTCATTTAATATTTTGGCTCCTTTAATTGATTTATCCCTCTAATTATCTACATGAGGTCATATTTTTGTGCTGTCTAGCCCTTTATTGCTGCCTGTTTTTTCCCTTGTCAGCCTAGTCTTTCCCTGTTTTGCCGTTTTTCTTTAATCCCTGTTAATTATTTTATTTATTTTTTTGGGGGGTGGGCTTTTGTGCCTCACTGATCGTTGCTCCGTGCTTGGGTCTGTCGGGCCGCGCCACTGCTGTGGCCGCGGCCCATTTTTTACTCACGCCCGCAATCTTTTCTGTGCCGCCTTTTTTAGCCGCGTCATTGTTAGGCGCGCAGTTTTCCCGCCTTCTTCTTGCCGGCGGCCATCTTCCGTTCGGTCTGTTCCGTTTTTTCGCGGCTTTTTGCTTCAGCTCCGATCGGCTGTTTGCAGCTCTGTCAAATGTAAGTATATTGCCCTCTGGAGGCTCTTTCTTTTATTACAGTTTTTTTGTTTAAAGAACCAGTCACTTATTACTGTTTATTTTGTTTTATTGCAGCTGCCTTTTTCCTTTCTTACAGCTCTGTGCCTATTAGAGGGTGACCCCCTCTTGCCTCTTTTATGAGGGTGACCCCCTCTTGCCTTATCTTTGAGCATATTATATATATTAAATATAGGGTGAACCCCATGTGTTTGATTTTGACAGGTACCACCTGTCACTATTATACTGACAGTTTTTAACTGCCATTATTGTGGGTGAACCCCACT